TCTTTCTTTCTTTCTTTCTTTCTTTCTTTCTTTCTTTCTTTCTTTCTTTCTCTTTCTTTTTCTTTTTTCTTTTGCACTGGTATAAATCTGTAAACATTTCAGGCTTGAACAAACATGTTACTAGTTATTAAAATGTACCCTTTTCTTGACATTTTAACTTGGCAGAGATTGGGATGTGTCTCTCATTACTGTCAACCAAGGAACAGTCTTGTCATTATCGTAACTCATGCATATGTGATTTTGCAGCTTGTTACAGAGTCATTACCTCAGCTGATATGTATATTGTTGGTATCAAATATTTCAGGTTTAATTGGCATTTTAAAAATGTTTTTAAAAAGACAGCACTTTGACTCAGCATTGAAATGAAAGGTTATTGTGTGTGTTGAGAACCATGGAAACAGCATTGGAACATTTGTGATATTAGTGATGCCAACATTTGTAGTTGGAGAAATGATCACAATTCTATATTTTCTTGCAAAGAAACATCAAAATGCTTTACAGGACTTAAGAGAGGAAGAGACCCACAGGTTGACAAGCTGTGCTATATTTTGTCAGCAAGGCACTTGGAAAACAATTGCCTTTCTTCATGCCAAGTGATTGCAGTCAAAGACAGGAGAAATTGCCAAAATCCTCAGAATTGACGTAACAAAATTCAAAGCAGAGAGAGGCTCGTGTGACCACTTCATGGAGAGGACTGCCGTTAAGACATCCAAGGTTTTATGCAAAGCTGCTTGCCGGTATTAGACAGAAGGCAGTGGTGAGCAACTCTTCCGGAAATGCTGTGTGGCCAGTGCTCTTGACATGGGTGGGAAAGTACAGATGCCTACAACTAATTTGGGAATGGATTTGGAAGAGGTGGGCTCAGAATATTAAGTTACAGTTATAACTTGGCCAGTTTATTTCACAAATTCGTTACATAGGCACAAGATTTATGCGATAAAAATATTTTAGAACATGGAATAAATGCAAAATAAAACATGTTTCTGTGATACCAGGCAAATGCCATAGCTTAATGAGCAATGCTTTTTTTCTTAGAAATACATATGGTGCATCCTAATAGATGGTCACTTAGATTAAGTAAAAGTGATAATATGTAAATTTACTTTTCAAGATAGCAGTTATTTATTGGAGAATTTAAGTATAAATATTACAGTGTTAACAGTTATTTTTTATGAAATACTTTTAGGTAAACCTATTGGGGGTTCAGAGTTGTAGTTAGGAATCTTAAGAGCCGTCTTCTCCTTTATTGAGAAGGATATCAGTCCCCCCTTTATATGGGGATTTATGCTCTGGTCTCATGTTGTGGAGAAAGTACTTCACAAACAGCAAGTCAGTGACAAGACCTCAAGAGTAAGGGCTTGAGAAAGTACTGCTTGAAAATGCCTGCTTGACTGTAAAATGCCTCTGCCTGGAGTCCATGTTTATTTGAACTGAACTTTGGGCTGTTTACTAGAGAAGAGTGATAGATTGATGAACCCTCTAGTGTTGTCTGCTCCATACAGAAATGAGCAAGGCCTCGCTCCTTACTCGTTCTTGTTCTTCACGGCCATGTTTAATCTCATGTGTTACCTCGTCCTTCGCTCCGGCAGATGCTGTTTATTAATTGTCTGCTGGCACTGCCCAAGGTGAGTTCCTAGAGATGTAGACATTGTAGCCCCTTGAATACACCGGCAGGGAAGTTACAGGAGACAACCTTCAGCTACATTTTCTGGGGAAGATCCCCAATAGCTTGAGAGTGAGGTGCAGTCATTCTGTCTTTATGAGGCATGACTAAAAGGCACAAAGCAGTGACATTGTTCTAGCATTGACCTTTAGCATTTAGTATTTCTTATACTAACTAAATAATTTTAAACCGGTCAAGTTGCCCCAAGGCATCTTGGTACTGGAGGATGTTTACATTAGATTTTTTTCATAATCTAATGTTTTGAGCTTCAAATTTTCATTGTTGCCAGTGTTTTGTGGTGGACATCTAAGGGTTAGATGCCAATAGAAAAAACTTTAAGCAGCAGGTGAGCTCTCGGCTGTGTCAGTATTAAAGAATGATACTGATGTAACTGTCCCCCTCCAATCCATAGCAAGGCCCAAACTATTCCTGTAAAACTCCATAAAGGGCATTATTTATTGGTATTTATGTTTTCCAGCATATCTTATAAAACTAATAAATACTGTGCTTGGCCCATGACTAATATCGTCTGGTGTAATAGCTCATACTAGGCGTGTTTTAACTTAAGTAAAACCATTTTGGATGCCAGTATGAAGAATCTGAGGCACAGTCCTTTGTGTAAGATTGGTTTCTCGGACCTCCTATACCTGACCAAGAGAGGGAAGAGGAAACATTGTCCTGCAGGGTTCCTCATGTGCTGTGGACTTCTGTCCTGTTTCCTGTTTTGATTTAGGGCTTTTATAGCTGTTATAATTGTCATACCTGTATTCTCAGGCTCTTGGTGCAAGGGGTGTACTTAACTTTAAAGTTTAAAGATACAACATACAGATACTAGAGTCTTTCCTGCACCCTTCCGAAAATAATGCTATCATCTCTGAGGATCAATTAGATACTTGAGGACTCAGGTAGATCGCTGCAGTTCCTTCTCCACCAACCCTTCCTAAAGGTGTATGTGTGCATGCGTGCGCAAGTGTGTGCATGTGTGTGTTTTCAAATGCTGGTGTGGTGTCGTGACTCAGATTTAAATGCCAAATACACTAAAGACTTGACAGCTGAGGCATTAAGCACATGCCTGAGGAAAATATTTGAACTGAATGGATTCCCACAGTGGAAGTAGATACTGGTTAGCTGTTACATCAACATCTTGACCCCTTCCTTTAGGCTTAAAAAACCATTTCAAAGTGGTGTTTTGCTAAAAGTTAAGGATAAGTATGTACTGACATCTAAAACACGATGCTAGTTCATGTTTCCCGTTAAGAGGACTAAACTGTGACGTTATTTTGAGTCCACAGTACAGTCTTTTTTTACAGTCAGTTTTTCTCAGAAGGTGTCTGACTGTGACTGGTAGCCAGTGTAACTGCAGATCTCAGCTGGTAAACTACATGCTTTTATATTTGAAGTTGACTTCCTAAAGCCAACAAGCAGTCCTCAGAGCATGGAGATGCTCGGATGACTGTAGAGGGGCATCGGGTTATAGAATATAGAAGTAAAGAACCTTGTATTGTCTTCTGTTAAAGTCGTTAGTGTTGGAAATGTCTAACAAGTTCCATTTTATTCTGTATTAGTAGAAGCTGTATCTCCATTTGTTAGCGCACATGCTACCTGTGGAGGACTGTCTACCATTAACCTCCACACCAGTTCTATGCGTAACCATTCGCCAGATACTGCCGATGTGGTTTCTTACAGAAGCCTTTCCGTCCTGTGCTGTGATGCATTGTCATCTTGCTGCTTGACAGAGACTTTGTGAGGAGTCGGAACTGTGTGTGTTAACAGTCCCTATGTAGAACAAGACGTAAAATACAAATGAGGGATATGCAAATGAATGATGTTCCTGTCTTAGAATATCGAAAGCTTCCATGGTTTGTATGTTTTAACTTCCTCTTTAAACTTCACAGAATAAATGAAAATGAAAACAAGCACACATGTGTTTTCATTGATTAAGGAGAATGACTGTGATGGGTACTTTAGACATGGTGGGATTTTAAAGCCATTTTTTTCCTTATGGTCCAGCCTTCAGCACCTTACTTCATCAGCTCTAAAAGTCTAAGAATTGGGAGGATAGCCATAACATTCATCATGCTAAGAAGTTAATCAACACAGAGCCTAAAAGACATAGCACAGCCCTGCTGGTTGCTTAATCAGTTACTCTTCCATCATCCATCACCTCAAGAGCTTGCTAATTTGCTTAGCCTAGACCATGTTTCACCTTTGTTAGCACACTGACTACCTCGAAAGCCAAGGGGACTAAATACTACTACCAAGTGAGAAAGATGCAGGGCCCTGTGAGAACCAGTTGGAGGTAGAAAACCATGGACTCCAGTGACTGAGCCAATGTTTTTCTTCAGTGCTCAGGTGCCAGAAACATAGGATAGCAAAAGAGACTTTGCCAGGCCTTGGCTTTGTAGGTAGAGCAGGTCTGTTTTAGAGATTGCCGGGGATTGGTCTGGGATCTGGGCTGGTTAGGAGATTCACTCCTGGTGCCAAAGGCTTGGGATGGTGGGTAGCACTTAAAAGGAGAAAGATGTTTACAGAATGGAGGAGCAATGAGAACACCCGCACCTGCTGTGGCCCAACACGCAGGCATAAGGATGATGTTGTTTATGGGGGGTTGGGGGAGGGGCACCAGTAAGAGCTGCAGGAGGAGTTTTCCAGGTCCTGGATGAGAAGAGGAGCTCACATGAATGTTGGGATGGCCTGGTGTTGCTTTGTATTCAAATGTTAAATTCTGTACCCCAAGATCTGGTTACCCCAAGACTAGTGAATTCTTATGCACACCAGCTTTTGTTATGCAAACCTTGCTCCCCAAGTTAATTGGTCAGTAAAAGGCTAAAGCCTGTGATTGGACAGTAGGGAGAGGAAGGTGGGACTTCCTGGGAGGGTAAAAGGAACTCTGGAAAGAAAAGAAGTAGGTGGTAGGCCCTTTGGCCAGGAGCTAGAGGAGATAGATAGGCTAGTTACCTGGAAGATGTAGCTTTCCATGTGGCTGGATAGGTCTAGATGTTCAGGTTAACAAAGATGACCTAGTGAGAGTGCCCAGCTAAAGCCTAAGCTTTGAAATATTAAAAGTTCTCTGATTATTTGGGAAACTAGCTGGTCAAGGAGTAACTGCCCCAGTATTAATTTCCAGCATAATTAATATATACAGAATATTAAATATTTTTTACACATGAAAAGCATACATAAGGACAGATGAGTTAT